ATGTTCACAGGACCAAACATTTTCCTAATGAGAAGGCATTATTAAAAGTTGCTGTGCACGAGGTTTTGTGGTCAGTCGTGACGAGCTGCGGACAGTGGGAGGGTTTCAGGGAGGTTGCAGACACACGTGAGCTCTGCAGATGGACCCAGGTGGGGAACGTGGCTGCAGCAGCCCCAGTGCAAAGCTGCTGCAGGAGAAACGCCTTGTGCTCTTCACCTCGGGCCTTGTTAGAGCCGCCTCGGGCACAGCTGCGCTGCTGTGCCAGCACCGTGGGGACCTGTGACAGCCCTGGGCCCTGCCCCAGACCCTGGGCAAAGCTGCTGCAGGAGAAACGCCTTGTGCTCCTTGCCTCGGGCCTTGTTAGAGCCGCCTCGGGCACAGCTGTGCTGCTGTGCCAGCACCGTGGGGACCGGGGACAGCCGTGGGCCCTGCCCCAGCCCCTGGGCAGAGCTGCTGCAGGAGAAACGCCTTGTGCTCCTCGCCTCGGGCACGGCTGTGCTGCTGTGCCAGCACCGTGGGGACCGGGGACAGCCCTGGGCCCTGCCCCAGGCCCTGGGCAGAGCTGCACCTGCAGCACCTGCAGGCCCCTCCTGGCCACGGCCTGCCCGTGCCTCTCTGGGTAGAGGTACACTGGAAATAAAACTGATGGCAGAAGTTTGGTTGGAGCTGCTGTGGATTCAGAGAGAAATTATTCGTACAAGTGGCTGTTTTGCAGTCATATAAAAGGGCAAAACTATTACTCTTTCTGTCCACTGAAATGCTCCTAAGCGCTCCCCTAATTTTGGTTTTATTCCTCATCTTCCTCCAGAATATTATGAGCATGAACTAAAGCCAGGGTTTTGCAATGGCAGAGCTGCTAATTGTGCTGCAGTTTTGGTGTGGTTTTGTGTGTGTTTGTGTGTTTTGGTTTGGTTTTTTTGTCTTGAACTGTTTTATGCTTTATTCTCTGTTTGTGAGTAGGTATCAGCAAAACCTTAGCTTGGAGGATGCTTAAAGGGACACATTCAGTGTCCAATCAAGCCTGATTTTATTCAGTAACGACAGAAAATAACAGGGGTGAGAAAAATGTCAGTTTTGCCTTTGTTGTAGGTGAATGAGCAGCCTAAAGCAGCTCTGGGGAGCTCCCCTGAGGCAGCAGAGCTTCCAGCAGAGAAAAGGTGGGTGAGGATCCAGGGCAGAGCTCAGACATCCCCTGGGACTCAATGATTCTGCCCTGTGTCAGCAGCTGGGCAGAATGCTGATGTCAGTGGTGCAGTTAGTGCTGTAATCATCCTTGACAAGATGAAATATGGCCTCTGAATTCCAAGAACATATGGGATTATTGAGAAGGAAAATGGTGTGAACAAGGGCAATTATAGCAATAACTATCCATGACACACTACATGGAGCCAGCCAAGCATAACACTGATATAATGAAAATATTTTTAAAGGCAAACATGATGTAAGCCAGTGCCAAAATTATCTAATTTATTATTCTGTCATGAATGATAAATGTTAATAACCTCTGTGTTTCACAAAATAGCAAGAAAGCTTTCTTTTATGTATGCCTTGCTACATGGTTTTAAAGGAGACAAAGGGAAGAAAGAAGATGAAAAGCCTTTCTCATCTACATTCTAATCTTTAATTTTTCAGCATATAATTGCTCCAGTTATTTTTGCACCCCTCACCACATCTGCACACCTATGCAGCACAGAGGAGGCTGCTGGCAGCCTGGTGATCACCACAGAGCCAGCCCTGACCTTGAGAAGGAGCTGCACCCCTGTGAGGGAGCTCAGGAGATTGAGATGTGACGGTTCTGGACTTGCATTGTCATTTTCAGATCAATGTAAGAGTAATAAAGCCTCCATACAAGAAGTATTCTTTTAGAACCCACCCCTTCTGACCTGCTGTGGGCTGAAGGCAGGCCCAGAGCCAAAGCTTCAGGCTCAGAGCTTCAAAGCTTGGCCTGGCTCTGCACTGAATGCCAGGGGCTCCCCCTCTGCTGGGGAGGCTCGGTGCAGTTATTCTCTATAAAGAAACATCAGGCATAAAGTTTACAGAAATATTGCCTGCACATCAGCAGGTCTCTCACAGGATGTGTAATTGCTCTGATGGATAATTGCAACAATAGCACTGACAGGGAACCTTCATTGTTATGCTGTTGTTTACAGCCCATGTCAAAAGAATCATTTTAATAAATACAAAGTCCTTTTAGGAAATTAAGATTTCTTCTTTATTTGAGGGAGAAAAACCAACAAAACAAAATTATTTTACTAATTACTGGCAAAGTCATTCTTGCTACATTACCTATTTTTAAAACTCACATTTCATTCAATTAAGATTTCATACTGTTGACAAAATGATGCTGCCCAAAAAAAAATATTGTAATAGCTGCTCTATACAAGCCCATAAATAAACTGCAAGATTTTCAAGCTTCAAGAGACTGAGGACAGAAAGAGATTGTTTAAAGATTCATTTGAGCATTTCTTATTCAGTACATTTGCTGCATTCAGTACCAAGAAAAACACTTTGAATCAAACAAAAAGAATGGATATCGATGGCAAGGGAACACATTTGTGCTTGGTGGGGATTTTCACCAGTTTACCAAAACCAGAAGGAGCCCCATCCCTGATGCTGTGTGATAAATTCAGTGCCCCAAAGCTCACGGGCCAAGAACAAGACAAAAGTGCTCCATGCCCAGGGCCTGCAGGCAGAGAGGATCCAGGGACACGGGGGTGAGCTCACCACACTGCCTGCCCTTTCCAAAGGACAGAACAAACACCTTTTCATGCCTGTCTCAGTTATGGTGAGCAATTTTAAACCAGAGCACACCTGGATGAAAAACTGATGTAGCAGCCCCTTTGTAGCAGTGCCACTGCTGCGTCTCGTGTGTGGGGAGTTTTCCAAATGGACACAGGACGGTCACAAAATGACCAATACAGCACAGGAGGAAATGCAGGTAAGGAAAATTGGGCAGAGGGGAATACTCTTAAAAATAAAGATTAAAAAAAAAAGCTTTTATATGTTGTCTGGTTCATTCACAGAACTTTGTGCTATAATACAATGATTAGAAAATTATCAAGGAGAGTTTCAATCTGTATTTGTGGTCACAATGTAAAAAAAACAAAAGCAGACCAAAACCAAAAGAACTCATATTGGTCCAGTATCAAAAATATGCTTAAATACATTGTGTGCACACAACACAAACCCTGAGCACTGTTATCACAGTGCTCCTCTATTCCATCTCCTCTGTACATTCCAAGGGCTCTGTCTACAGGGTCTTTTGGGGAAAAAAATCATTTTCAGGCCAAGAAAAGCCCATATATTTGCACAGCTGTAAGACAGAGCAGTGCAGAAAAGGCTAGGAGAAAACCCTTCAGAAAAGCCAAAATAAAGACACAGCCATCTACATATTTAGCTTTTACTGAGCCTCTGTTTGGAGTTAGCTGTCAACCACTGGAGTTACTTAGCATTAGGAAACATGAGATTAAAGCCTGTGGATTTAAATGTGTGGTGTGCAGTTCTGCTGTGTTCCAGCTGCAGAAATCCAGCACTAAACTAAAATAATTTCTGTAGAATGTTCTGAGCTGTAAGCTTGGGTGGACTCTGGGCTTCCAGTTTGAGGCTCACACCAACAGGTCTTGGATAGGAAGGGGAAAAGGCAGAAAAGATTGGGCCAGACTGAAGGAGATCATTATTTTAGTGCAGAAGGAAACAGGGACAAAACTTGGTTTGGATCAAACAGATATTAAATGCATTGAGTTTTTCTAAACTTTAAACTCCATGTCTTTTGGATTAAACACCAGACTAAATTCAGTTATAATTGGTGGGTATTTCCTGTTCCTAAAGATCAATTTACTTTCATTTAACTTTTTGATAAATTTACTATTCAATAGAAAATTTCCATTCTGCACATTAGAGTGTAAATACCTTTTCTCTTGGAAACAAATAGCTCATTCACTGGGACCAGGAATGGTCTGAGCTGCTGAATACACAAACATTTAATTAAGGTTAAAAAACCCAGCATGAAACATCTTAGCAAGAGATGAGGTTGAAGAGTTGCACATTTTCTGCCTGTCTGAGGTTTTTTTGCATATTTTCTGCAGTACTTTGGCAGCCCAGCAGATCAGTGAATTCCCTGCTGATCTCTGAGGGCTGAGGCACAAGGGAGAGCTGGGGACAGGAGCTGTGGCTGCAGAGCCACCCTGGGGAGGGCCTCACCTGGGCACGTCCTGGATGCTGAATGGAGCCCAGAGCGAGCCCCAAGGGCCCTGCCAGGGGTTAAACTCTGCCTGGCTCTGGCTGGGAAGGTGGGGTGGCCCTGCCTTGTGCTCCAAACACCGCTCTGAGAACCCACAAAACACAGCTCAGAAGAAAAATTACAGTGTTTATTTCCTCCTTGAAGATACTTCATAGCAGTACTAAAGCAGAAGCTTCTAAATGCTGAGCAGGGTCTAAAAGCACAAAAGAGACTGCAGAGCCCTGTTTAAAAGCTGTCTGCAGGAAACAATGCACAGAGCTATTTGCAGGCTGGCTGTCTTCACAGTGTATCAGTGTGTTCCATCCTCGTGGCAGCAGTTCAGTGTCTCAAAATGACCAGGAAAAGGAGCAAGGTAAGTCACAGTGCCAGCTCTTGGTTCCTAGAAGCCACAGTGAGTTTGCAAAATGCGCTCGATGGAGAGCTGTGGATTGCAGCCCCGAGCTGCAGGCAAAGCAGGGCAATAATTGAATAATTTGCATGGCAATACAGACACAGATCAGCAACAGAGGGGCTGGGGGCTGCTCTAGGACAGCCCCAGCCAGTTTTGCCTCTGATGATAACATGGCAAAAGGAAGAGCTAAAATGCTAAAGATGCACATTTACACCTTCCAGGTGCTGCTCATGTGTTCATGTGTTTATTAGCTCTGCTCATCCACACCCACGCTGGGAGTGGGTACTTGGAACCTGCTTCTCCCTCAAGGCCTGGCTTCCTTGCAGCATTTAGATAAACACCATAATATGTATTTGGAATCAACTTCACTTTGATAATTCTGTAAGGTAAAAAATGTAAACAGAGAGAGCACAGCAAGCCTGGAATAGTCTCATTACAACATCACAATGGGAAGCATTTCATTTTAGAGCATAAAAACCCATCTTTTCAGAGGTATGTTGCTTTCCCTCAGTTCTGGGAGCTGGAATGATTCAGGGAGCAATAAGCCCTTCTTGCATACCTAGGGTTTTCATCATTGCTGACAAAACCATCCAGTGTATATTTGTGCTGGTCATTTTTACAGATATTGCTAATAGCCAAGTGCTAGAACGTGGTACAGTTTTGAAGGCAAGCAACGAGGGCTATTTACTCAACAGAACAACATGGCAATTCCCAATTCATTAGGCAGTGATTTAAAACCCAGTTTTCTGCTGTCACTGGCAGTGACAGGAACAGCTGGTGGACACGGTGTGGAGGTCCTGAATGTGTGGCTTGGTTTTCTCTGAGGAGCTGCTGCTCCTGTCACACTGCTGATAAATCAATGCGGTTTGCTGAATTGCTGCTTTTATCCCAGGTGTTCAGCTTGGTGGGGGTTGTGCCTGGCCTGTTCCCAGTCATCTGGAAAATAAAATAGTATGGAAAATCTATTTATTTATTTTGCCAAGCAACTCTTGCCCAGATGAAATAAGAGCTTGAAAGCATCTATTTACATTACAGTGTTGTCACAGGGTCTGGAGAGCATATGCCATAAAGGATTCTTAAACAGTTATTGCCAGGATCTGAGGTGATTGGCAAGGATCACTTAATAATACCTATCACTTCAGATGTCTGGTTCCTTATAAAAACAAATGCCTTCTGTCTCAAGACAATCTAAGCAGAGCTGGAAAATGACATTCACGTGTTGGTTTAACAGTAAGAAAGCCCTACCAGAGAGCCACCACCATCAGAGCAATACATTGCCAAAATGCAGAAGTCCATTGCAATTGGTGGAAATGGCCCTACTGAACCATACCCAGAGCTCATAAAGCTGTTTGCTTTTATTTGATGGTTTCCCAGAAAGCAGAGTTTTGTCCTTTGCTTTCAAAACAGATTTTAAATCTGCAACTTCATGCTTGCTGGTTCCACCTGTCTGCACCTTGCATTAGGCTGGTACTAAAAATACCCATGGGCCTGCTCTGTTCTTTCCAACAGAATTTAATGGGAAACACTCTCAAATACAGTAGGGGAAAAGAGGAGCAGTACTTACAATGTCTGAATTGAAGGGCTTCACGTTGATGTTGCGTGTTGAACTACTGGTGAGGGACCAGACCTTGGTTTTGTGCTTAAAGGCAGCTCTAACCTTTGGCAAAGAACAGCGAAACCAGCTGAAAAAGCTGTGTTTATTTTCACAGGTGCAGCCTGCAATCATTTCCCCTTTTTCCTCTCTCCACACAAATGTCACTGTGCTATTAAACAACAAACAATCCACCCCTACACTTTTCTTTGTCTTTATGGACTTTTCCCAGTTTCACATTTTCTGAGTGAACACAGAGCCCCAGGCTGGAGCAGGAGGTGCCCGAGCAGGCTCCCCCTGGGCTGCACAGCCCTGACAGGCCCAGGTGCCACCAGGACAGAGATGGAGCAAAATTCTCCACCAAGTGAAAATGAGCTGCAGAAAGGACAGATGGTGAGACAGGGAGGGGAGACTGGTCAAGGACTGAGGCTGGAAGTGACGGCTGTGGAGATCAAGAACATCTTGGCTCATCCTCCTGTGATTCTTTTTAATACCAGTGCATTTCTGTCTGGGAATAAAGCCCTTTTTTACCCAGCCACTTCTGTACCCAGTCCATGGATGTTTCTTTACAATATCCGAGTTTCACTTCTCGGGAAGAAATTCTCAAGAGTTCTTGCTGTTTAGCTAAAGGAGTATTTTAGATATGCACAGCCTGTGAAGGAGCCAGTAGGACCTGCTCTCCAAAAATAACAACTCACATCAGCTGTGTGGTTTTTGAGGATAAAAATTATGAAAAGTTTCTGAATTTAATTTCTCATGAGGTTCCAGAAAAAATTACAGCAATTCAAATATTTGTATCTGATCTAAAACATTTGAAACTTGAAGATTTCTAAGCCTGGGGGAGAACAGAATAAAGAAATATTTTTCCTCCCTACCTTTAACCCGCCTGCTTAATTTTAGATGATTTCAATAAAGATCAAGAGTTCCACAGTCAGACCTGACTCTCCAAACTGATTTTGGCAGAGATCACATCAGTGAATGCTCTGGGCTGGAATAGGTTGGCACATATTAACAAATAATAATTTCTCCACAGAAGAGGTGAAGTGCTGCTGTTGCACGGGAAGCAGCAGCAGGGTTCTGGGGCAGAGCTCCTCATGAGCATCCAGGAAAAAATCTGTGCAGAGCCAAAGCTGCCAGGGTCTGCAGTGGGCACTGCCCTGGCAGGACTGGAAATGGCTCTCACAAAAACCATTTCTTTCAGCAATACTTGTGGCTGGGCATTTTCTGCTATCTGCCACGGGAGGAGAGGATGCTGCAAGCCAAATTTACATCAGCCTTGTCTTGGCTTCGTCCCAGTTGTTCTAATGAAGCCTTAATGCAAAAAATGCCTCAGTCCCCTACCAACACCTGAACTTCCTGCCAAGAAAAATACCTGGAATATCTTCTGCTCAGTAAGGCTTCCCATTAAGGACTGCATGAGCAACATCCACAAGTATGTTTTGCTGAGAATAATATTTATTTTCCTCCCTGGGGCTGCAGCTCTAGAGAGCCCCCAGCAGGGACTGCCAGGGTGAATCTGCCCCCAGTTGTGAAGCTTCCCCTCCCCACAGTGCAGTCCTGCCTGCTCAGCCCCCAGCTCCCAGGACAGCTTCCTCCTGCTCTTCACTGCTCCTCTTATCTCGGTTCTGTGCTTCCAACCTTCCTCCAGTTAAATGCCAATTAAAACAAACGTCAAGCGCGGGTAAAAATGCTGCCAGTCACGGAGCCAGAAGAGTCATGGATTAATTAAAAGGAAAAGGAAATCAGTGACATAGCAGGCAATGATAATGCAGAAATTGATTCACATTTATGTTCTTTGAATTTGGTAACACCAAATTTGGTTACATACCTCTGAGTTCAGAAGACAGTGAAACAGGAACATGAAAAATCCCTGAAAATGGAAAAAAGGGAGAAGGGTGAGGTCTGGCTGTGAAAAATCAAATGTTTCATACTGTGTTTCTCTCAGTATGTACAGAACAGGCATCAGGAGCTGGAGCCCTGTAAATGTCTGAGTGCACTAAACCAGAGTGTCTCAAGTGAAACTGGAGAAACCTGCAGCACTGGGTAACTGTGGGGCTTCTCTGGAACTATTCCTGCAAAAAAACACCTCCTAAACTTTGCTGTACTGAAGGAAAAATCTGGCTGAAAATAGGCAGAAATTCTTGTTTCATGACCACAAGAGAACTCTTGGTTTGTGGTTGCAAAGACCAAGGAGAGGGAAATGCTCTTAGGGAAACACCAGATCAGGATTTTTCAGGTTAGAAAAGCAAGGTATTAGCACCAGGAGAATTTTCACAGCAGAATTTTGCTATCTTTGGGCTTTTAGTCCAATGCAAAGTGAAAATCCCTTTCCCTCACAAGACAATTTTATTTTTCTGGCAGTAGTTTTCAGCACCAAGAACCCCGTTTCACTATTTTTGGATCCACAGTGGTGGTGTTTGTTTCCAAGACAAGAAAGGATTTACAGGAGATTGTTTTTCCCTCCTCTTACAACCACTGCTTGGGAATGTAACACGCCTGTATACAGGTTATGCCTGTGCTGAAATGTCTGCTTCAAGCTAAGCAGATGTTTACATTCCCCCTTGGACAGAGCTGCTTTTCTGGATGCTGTGCCAAGGAGATGAGGGCTGAGTTTCCTGCATGCAGGAGCTCTGTACAGCACAGGGAATAGCTCCACTTTTGATCTTTCCCATAAAGTTCTGTTTGCTTTTATTTAGTCTCAGTAATGAAGCCTCAAATTGGCATTGAAAAATTGGCCTGGTATCTCTACAGAAGAATCCTGCCTATGGTACACAGTGCTGCAAGAACGAATTCCATTTCATTTCTGAGGCTCAGTGCTGTCTCATTTATTTAATTATTGCTACTGGAAACTCTAAGGAGTGGGATACAAGTTCTGTTCAAACAAAGACAAGCAATTGCCAGCACTCTGTGCTTAGCACAGACTTAAAAGACAGAGGAAGGAACACAGGATAAAATGCAATAAACATAAACATGTGAAGACATTACTAATGAGCCATTTAATTGGATCTCAGAAGCATTTCTGTAGCCATAAACTTCCCCACCAGACACTTACCTGTAGTGAATTAAAAACAGCAAATATGTACTGAAATACTAAAGCTTGGGCATTGACAGCCAAAATGCCAAAGATCCACGAGCTCCCCAGGATTGGTAAGAGAACAGCCACGGCTTTAGCTGTTAGTCTGTGGGAGAAAATGAAAACAGGAAATTGTGGTGAGACCATTAAAGAAATGTCAGCCTCCACACCAAGGAGTTTATCAATTCTGTTCTGGCAGCAAGGCAGCAGGCAGAACTCTTCTTTACTATAAAATTCTTTTAATGGGAAAGATTTTAATTATGTTTTCATCTGTGGAAAGGGGAATAACAAAACATTGGTATCACACAGGAGAAATACAGGTGGTGAGTCATGAACTGAGGGAGAAGGGAAAGAGATCTGAGAGATGGTCATAAAAACACATAAAAACAGGGCAGTCATGTCCTCAGTTCACAGAGAGGTTTGTAGTGGGCAGCCAAGTGCAGGAGGCAAAGGGCAGCGAGTGCTGCACATCCCAGCCCACACACACCCACAGCCTGTGCACCCTGAGATCACCCAGAGCACTCACAGGCCACGGGAAACCAGCCCTGCCATCACAGCACTGCCAAAGAGCAGCAATCCACCTGCAGGAGGAGCAAATGAACACCTGTGCACACCCAGAACACTCACAGAACACTCACAGACCAGAGGAAACCAGCCCTGCCATCACAGCACTGCCAAAGAGCAGCAATCCACCTGCAGGAGCAGCAAATGAACACCTGTGCACACCCAGAACACTCACAGAACACTCACAGACCAGGGGCAATCACAGCACTGCCAAAGAGCCACAATCCACCTGCAGCAGGAGCAAATGAACACCTGTGCACCCCAGATCACCCAGAACACTCACAGGCCAGGGCAAACCAGCCCTGCCATCACAGCACTGCCAAAGAGCAGCAATCCACCTGCAGGAGCAGCAAATGAACACCTGTGCACCCCGAGATCACCCAGAACACTCACAGGCCACTCATAGGCCAGGGGAAACCAGCCCTGCCATGGGGGCACTGCCAAAGAGCAGCAATCCACCTGCAGGAGCAGCAAATGAACACCTGTGCACACCCAGAACACTCACAGAACACTCACAGACCAGGGGCAATGGGGACACTGCCAAAGAGCCACAATCCACCTGCAGGAGGAGGAGATGAACACCTGTGCACACCCAGAACACTCACAGAACACTCACAGACCAGGGGCAATCACAGCACTGCCAAAGAGCCACAATCCACCTGCAGCAGGAGCAGCAGATGAACGCCTGTGCACACCCAGGCACGTTTCCAGTGCCAGCCCTCAAGGGACAAACTGCCCCTCCTGGCCAGCTGAGAACAATTTAGCAGGAAAAGCCAAAGAAGGGAGCAGTCCCCATCTGGAACATGTGCCAAGAAGGCAGATCTGACCCAGCTTCCAGCACCACAAACACTTGGTGAGCTCCTGTTGCAGCCCTTGGGATTCATGCAGATTGATCAAATCAAGTGTTTAAAATATCAGTTAATTCAGTCTATGTGCAATTACAGATAGAGAAGCCATGGGGCAGAAAAGAAACAGGGGTAGTGAGAAACAAAAAGTCAGTCCCTGCTTGCTAAAACCATGTCTTTTAGAAATGATCAGATTTCTATTTAGATGGGAACCTATGCAAGAAAAAAAAAAGCTGTTTCAGGGAGATTAATGTCCTGCTTGTGCCTTGTGCCCCCTTGTACAGATTAAAGCACACATTGAGAGAAATGCACAGAGCTGCCTGACAGGAGACTGCCTGTAATTACAGCAAACAAAACAAATTATATTTTTGTACAGTACAATTCAATGAAGAAATCTTTTAATTAAACTTAGAGACGAGATGTCTTGTTCATTTCAGTGACCTGAGTACACACTTCATTATATCCTCAACTAAAAGTGTGTCATGAAGTTTACAGGGAAATCTGGGACAGGGAAGCATCTAGATTTTTTTTCTGTTCTGGTTTGGGTTTTTTTCTGTATTGATTCATATCTCTGTATGCTCAGCCATGAATATTTCTGCTCAGTTCAATCTAATTCTTCAAGGAATTGTTTCAGTCAGAAAATGAAGGAATATCTTAAAGCTTGAGGTCCTATTTAAATTTTAGAATGCATTTCAAAAGATACAATTTTAAAACAACTTATACAAGTTTATTTTTGTGAATCAAAGATGCTCTGGTTTGTTTTTTCTCTGATAGGATTAAAGATCCTCCCCAAACTCTAAGATGAAATATGCTGCATGGGGAGCTGCCAGCAGAACAGCTCCTGCCATGGCCTTTGTGCAGGGAGAGCTGTGAAATGCCACTGAGCACCCAGGAAAATGCAGCGTGCAGGACCAGGGGCTGGGCAGGCCAGGGAACACCTGGGATGGATCCAAACCCTGGGATGGTTCAGGTGTTCAAACACCTGGGATGGATCCAGACCCTGGGAGGGTTCAGGTGTTCAAACACCTGGGGATGGACCAGGGACACCCAGACCCTGGGATGGTTCAGGTGTTCAAACACCTGGGCATGGATCCAGACCCTGGGATGGTTCAGGTGTTCAAACACCTGGGCATGGATCCAGACCCTGGGAGGGTTGAGGTGTTCAAACACCTGGGGATGGATCCAGACCCTGGGATGGTTCAGGTGTTCAAACACCTGGGGATGGATCAGGGACACCCAGACCCCAGGAGAGTTCAGGGTTCAAACACCTGGGCATGGACCAGGGACACCCAGACCCTGGGATGGTTCAGGGTTCAAACACCTGGGCATGGATCCAGACCCTGGGATGGTTCAGGTGTTCAAACACCTGGGCATGGATCCAGACCCTGGGATGGTTCAGGTGTTCAAACACCTGGGCATGGACCAGGGACACCCAGACCCTGGGAGGGTTCAGGTGTTCAAACACCTGGGGATGGATCCAGACCCTGGGATGGTTCATGTGTTCAAACACCTGGGGATGGACCAGGGACACCCAGACCCTGGGAGGGTTCAGGGTTTGAACATCTGGGGATGGACCAGATACACCCAGACCCCAGGAGAGTTCAGGTGTTCAAACACCTGGGCATGGATCCAGACCCTGGGATGGTTCAGGTGTTCAAACACCTGGGGATGGATCCAGACCCTGGGAGGGTTCAGGTGTTCAAACACCTGGGGATGGATCCAGACTCTGGGAGGGTTCAGGTGTTCAAACACCTGGGGATGGATCCAGGGACACACAGACCCCGGGAGGGTTCAGGGTTAACCCTCTGCAGCCTGAACCAGCAGGGATTGGTACACCCAAAACTGCCTTCACCACAAACCACCTCGTTTTGTTTTCCCCTTTTGTTCTCACACTCTCTGGTTTCATAAAATTTTCAGTTTGGAATATAATTTTCCCTAACTATTTTGTTGCCAAAAATGTTATCATCGTTTCCCTTTGAGTCAGAGCATAAAGGGCTTCATCTAATTTTGTAGCTGGGGGCAGAATAGTCAGGCAGTCAGTTTTCAGTATTTTCAAAACCATTCTAACAGTTTGGATTTCCAGAAGCCTTTAATATTGCAAATTACTCATATAATTTTAAAAATCACGTTTAAATAAAGATGGCTCTTCATTAAGCCCAAAGTTCAGCACATGTGCAGCAGAATTCCACAGCTGAAATGAAAATACAATCCAGATGTGGAATTTTCCATGCAAAAGAATTAATGTTTCATGCACACTCATTTAGAAAAGCAGCCATGCCAAGGTGAAATTCATTTAAGACTGAGGGTCAGCTCTGCCTATGATTCTCTTAAATCTCAGTAAGACTTTTTTAAAATTTTCCCCTAGTTATTGCACAGCCTTCTATGCTTACCTGTTTGGAACTTCATTCTGTGTAGGAAAATTATTAATTCATGGTGTTTATGGGCTTTACCTACCAATCTAAGGACCCAGCTCTTTTGTCTTCTTCCACCTACCCCTCCCCTTCCTACCCTTATTCCATTTTAATCTTTTAACTTTAAAAAAGAAAAATACTAACTGTAAAATGCTGCTTCAGAATACCATTAAGGTAGCAAGGTTAAAAAAACCCGAGAAACACAAAAGCTAATGTTCCACTAGGTGCATTCATTCTGACACACTGCACATACTTTATCTTTTCTTTTTATTCCAGTTTTCCTTTGGTACATGAATATTTTAGTAGATTAGTTCTAGTAGACTAAGATATAGAGCACAATCAAATAGATGCTTTTGGGGAAGGAATACATCCCCACGCACGACTTATGCTGAGCAACCTGAAAAAACAAACAGTCACTAGCATCAATGGAGCTTTGTATTGTCCCTAAAACCGGTGACATAAGGCAGTAATTTGGGGCAGGGGCTGTGCTTACTTTGCAGTTACTGCGGTTCAGCCCCACCAGGAGTTCAGAAACCTTGCTAGAAGCCTTTTTCTTGTGCCCAAATGTGGCAGAAAACAGAACAGCCATCTAAATGTCTCCCGAGTGCCCCTTCTCATGCCTTGGCAATTAACAGCCTCACAAAATTAACAGCCTCAAATTAACAGTTCCTCACATGCACTTTCAAAGCTCAGGTACTGTCATTTTCTGCAGCCCAATAGCACCAAGTTTGGTGAGATTTTGTCTCTCTGCATCTAAACACACTGAAGGATCAGTCCTGGAACTAATTAATGAGGAACAAAGCAAACCCAGCACAGAATCTCCTTTCTAGCATTACATTTTGCCAAGTTGTTGTTTTTGGGGTTTTTTGTAAAAAAAAAAATGTCATTACTTAGACAACTTCTGTAAAACACAAAAATACTTAAGAGTCTGATTTAATTTTTACATCTGGAGCACCTGGAGAAGCCTTTGGGGCACAAGTATCTGCATAGAGCCTACCTGTGAGTTCAGGCTGTGGTTTGGGGCTGCTCACACCCTGCCCCTGCACCAAAACCCCTTGGGCTACCAGAGGCTGAGGGAGCTGCACTCACCCAGAACCCAAATGGGCCCTGGCAGGGCTTGGGGAGCTCCAGGAGGCCAGGGAACGCCCTGCAGGTGTGCCAGGGAATGCCCTGCAGGTGTGCAAGGGAACGCCCTGCAGGTGTGCCAGGGAATGCCCTGCAGGTGTGCAAGGGAACGCCCTGCAGGTGTGCCAGGGAATGCCCTGCAGGTGTGCCAGGGAATGCCC